ATCATATTGTTTCTATACCTTTACGGCTTTAGTGCTTTACACATATATAACCCGAATAATATAAAAAATTTATGGCGGGCCGCGAGTGTACTCAAAATAGTATTAAATAATTATATATTATACACGTCCAATATCGAATTTAACAAATATTATCGGCACGCACGTTTTTTGCGCCTCGTGTATGACCTCCAAAAAATGTACGAAAAAATATCCTGCTATAGCCGTTTCCATGCTGCGTATACAGTGYCATTGAATATACAACTCCGACACCATAATCACCATATCGAAAACCGATCGATTAAAAAAAAAAAACAATAGAATATTGCATACACAGCTATAGGTGTCCCACGAGGATTTACCCACTTTGATATCTCACGAAATAATGGAAATATTAAAATTTTGGTTTTATAATAAGATTCACGGGGATAAGAAATTAAGAACTACAATTATATAATTTTTTAATTTATTTTAATGTTTTTGTAAAAAAATTAAAAATATATTTTTTTATTTAATTATTTCCAAAAAAAATTAAGATAGCCATTTTGTAGAGTTCGACGAATGCACGCGGCGCATCATCAGTTTAATAATTACTTACTTATGTTAATGACAACATTCGCATTTTTAATTCCTTAATACTGCAAAGCAGAATATTTTTTTGGAGAATATATCGTCGATCTATAAAAACATACGTTTAAATTTTTAAACAAAATCATTTAAAGTTATTATGAGTGGAGTTGTGGAGTAGTATACTGTAGTCTGCAGGTGTATATACTGGTGGTATATTCCTCGCAAAATGCAGGTCCACTGTTCCGCTCATCTAAACTTTAAATACGTACTCGTATCAGGTGGTAATACTAATAMACTTTTTATCTAAGATTAGATTTTTATAGTTTTTAATATTACGAATAATTTTCTAGTTCAGAATGTGAAATTGAAAATGTAAATAGTTGTCATTCAAAAAGACAACAAAAACTTTAAAAAATTATAATGATAAATAATTGATGGTAAAAAATATAATTTTTTTTCAAAATCCTTTTCGTCTAGTAATTATGTGTAAAAAAAAAAAACGATGTTGCAGCTGTTTTTTGAAATAAATTAGTGTGTCTAAATGGATCACCCCGTATATACACCCATAATTAATATTCTCTGCAGTACTTATATATACACCGTTCAACACAGCAGTGCGTTGTAAATATTTTATATTTTTTCGTATCCGAAACGGATGTTTGTGCTGCACAAAATATATATTATAAATATTTTATTTACAAACTATATTTTGTCGCACGTAGGTATCGTGTGCGTTATTTTCCAGAATGTGTGATGGACGCTTGTGCAAATCGTTATATACTTAGTATACTTAATCACCATTTCATATTATTACTACCCACCCGAAGGTATTAGGAGACCTGTTTCGAAAATATTTTGAATCGATTAGTTAATAGGTATATAAACTTCAGCCCAGTGTTAAAATAACTATTTCCACCATAGGTTAAAATCGCTTTAAAAAAATTTTAATAGTTGCTATATTATACTATGCAAATYGGTATCGACCGTTGACGCTTTAAAGAGCAATATAATAGTAATAATAATAAATGTTTTTTTCTAGGTTAAATGTTGCACAGCTAGGTGCAGGAAATTGTACACAAAAATATAAAACTAGTATCGCTATTCACTGAGGTGAAACCTCTTAGCATCGGAGAGGAAGAGTTGCCTAACTAAACTTGGTGACAAGAAAAAATAAGAAAAGATAGATAATGACTTGTAATAAAAATTAAGTAAAGAAAAAAAGAGTGATACTTTTTAAAGGTGAGTTAAAAAAATATATTTATTTATTACAAGGATAAACTAATGTATAATTGGCTAAAATTTTATAACTAAACAATAATTATCTTCAAACCGCATATAAAATTTWAAAAAAAAATTTATTTTTGACATAATTAATTTCTGGTTTTCGCGTGATATCAGCCACTGTAGCAGATTTTCAGCATTCTGTGTTATATACCGTTTGTTCAACAATTTAGAGAACACGTGTAACACGTGAAAAAGTTTCTATTTAAAATACCTACGTATTACATTAAATKTTTGAGAAAATCATCAGCTCAACAGTTTATAATTAAAAGGATGGTTTTTATTTGTAAAAAAAAAGTTTTCATTGCCACAGCCTCACAGGACAAGCCTTAAATCGCATGGAAGTAATTTAAGTATGTTTTTCTAATATTTTAAAATGTGCAGGTCCTTAATTATACTTCAAAATTCCAAAAATCAGAATTTGAACAAGTAAAAGAAAATATT